CACTCCCAAGCCCTCTTCCCCACCACCATGCTGCCCTAGAATTGGGGGGTTTATCTAGCTCCTCCCAAACCTGAGGGGTCCTCAAGTAGATATCAATGAAATGTGGTCGATTGAATCTTTTTTGTTTTTGAGTAACTGCTTTGAAGATAATGATACACAATATATTAACTATTGTCATTCTCTTATTATTTTATTATGATGCTTTACTTTTTCATAAAATAAAAAATAGAATGAAACTAAAAAATGTGGTCAATGTTCACAAACTTTCTACAAGTAGCTAAGTAGTGACGTCTGTCATAAAGGCATGCTTTTGGTTGATGACTTGGGTAGTTACATGGTTGTGTGTGGTCATCAGCACTCTGCCATGTTACAGATGGTCTGCCAGATGGCAATGCACTCTTTCCCCCGAGGCAGAGCCCTGCCAGGAGGTGGCTGATTTAAACTATTGGAGTTTGAAGCATCTTCACACAATAGTCCACAACTTTTGCTCTGATCACCGTCATTCCCAACAAATAACTTGTTATCTACCATACAGGTACACTGTAGCTTACAAACCTTGGCGGGTTGCTCTTTGTCCTAATCTGGGATGCTGCTGGACTCACAGACTTACCAAGTACACCCCAACATCCCATCGATTTCCTGTTGAGTGGAGAGAGCAAGGACATTGCAGAGCCAGGTCCCGCTGTGGTCAGGGAGAGGAAGCTGGGAGCCAGCAAAGGGAAGGACACAGCCCATTAGAGTCGGTGGTAGGGAAGAGAGAGGGGAGGTGACATTTTACAAACCACAAAGGTCAAACTGTGGGCAGAAAACAGCACCCAACAATGGAAATGGTAAAACCAACAGTCAAGGTCAGAATCCAGGAGAAATAGAATAAGCAGAAACATCCAGAAGAGGTAACTAAAGTATCCACAAAATAAGTCTTCTTAATTGTCTGCATACATAGGTGGACGAACCTATCTTATCTTTTCTGAACCCCTCAACCTGCTAGTTTCTTGGCGGGAGGAAGACAAAATTAAAAGAAAAAATATGTATATATAGGTTGAGGGGTGTTTCATACACACGTCTTCAAGACTTTCAAGAGGCCACCTCTCTTCTCTGTCTGAATTTCTGCTTTACTCTTTACTCTCTGCCCTTTTTGGTTTTTCCAGAATACAACAGTTCCTTAATCTCTGCATTACAGGCCCACCCAGATCCCTTTTCTGGATCCCAGTTCTACATTCCGGAAAGGGAAGTTTCTGTCTGTCCAAGCCTCATCAAGTGCCCACTGTGGACTGAACTGCTGTGCCCAGCTTTGGGGTCAAGCTGTGTTGGTTTGGCTGGTGAGAACTTACCAATCTCACTATTTCCCAGGAGACACCATGTTGCTGTAGGGATTAAATTAAATCATAGAAATGAGGGCCCAGGATTTAGCTCAGTGGTTTCACCACCTGCTGCGCAAGCACAAGGACCCAAATTCGATCCCTGGTACCAAACAAAAAAATCATAGAAATGAGAGGGTGCCATAAAGATGTAAGGTATTATTGCAACCAGGGGGAAGCACATGGAGCCCAAATCCATTTTGTAGTAATAATATTAGTTTTCTTGCATTATAAAGATATGCCGGGCACATAAAGAACCTGAAAATTGAAATCATTTTTCTGTGATTTGATTCTAAAGGCTTTTGCTTGCAAAAGAGGGAAAGGCAGGCTTTCTAAGATTAGGTCACTGACCTGCAGAGAAAGTGGGTCTCAGAATTAGGAGGTAGTTGTTTGATACTCAAAATATTAAAACAGAAGATTGTTAAGCACCAATCGAGGAGATTGAAGGGAAAGTGGCTAGATTTTAAGATTATTCTTTAAAAATCTGTTTTCTGGAAAAGAAGTCAATTTTACTTTCTAGAGAAGGTGCTTTGGGTGGCCAGTGATGATTGTTCCTCATTAATTTTGCCACAAAACTACAGGGGTTGGATGTGGCCACTTTCTTTGAGTCAAAGGGTCAAAGGCTGTATGTTTCCTGAGCTGCAGATGTCTATTCATTTCCCCGAATCCCCTCCTACATTGCAAAAATAAACTAAGTTGAAAGAAAAATATCATAATCTTTCATTTAAAATTTGTCTAGAGATACTTATACTTGAGATTTCATTATTTGTAGCAAATAAAGATTTAACTTCCATTCCACTTCAGTTTGAAATTCAAAGGGTTCTGCGGGCCATGTAAATGACTATTTTATTTCTAACTTGCTATGTTTGCTGGAGTAAATTATTTAATATATCTGTACCTTTTTTGGTGAAGGTAACACAAGTCCATCCCTTGAGTGTTCTGAGACATTAGGGGTGAAACTCACACTGGATAACATTATCCAAAGTGACTCACTCTGGTGCCTTTCTCTCCCTTAATGGCAGTGGGTTGTGGAGTGTTAATTACAAATAGTTACAACTACTCTTTCAAGGACTCCAAGTGATTGTATGAAACACCATCAATTCATCAAGAAATGTGACAGGTAAAGGTGAGAAAAGAAGTATGGGTCAATTGTAGCATATTTCTTGATTTCAGCAACATTAAAATGTAAAACTATGCACATTTTAAACTTGGGGAAATGTGATGCCTATTTCCCAGGGTTGTGAGGATTAAATAAGATTACATAGGAAAATATAATTTCATACTGTTAAGTTTTACAATGCAAATATTATTACTTGCCTCACCAGCTGCTCAGCCCAGTCTTTAATAATATACTAGTAACTTGGAAAAGTAGATATGTCATCCTATGCTCAGATCCAATTTCTTTATGAAAATAATTTTTTAAAAGTGAGATATATCCTTCTTAATAACTGCTAATACACAGAGATCTAGAACCAGAAAGCAATTTAAAATTTAATGAATTCTATCCCTAAATTTTATTTATAATGGGGAAAAACTGAGGTTCAGAGGAATAAAGTGACTTTTTTTTTTTTTTGACGCCAAGGATCAAACTCAGGATCTCGTGCTTGTGAGGCAGGCATGGTGCCACTGAGCTAATTCCCTGGCCCATAAAGTGGCTTTTTAATACATATAATTCATGGCATGGTGGGCACAGAATGAGGATTTTGACAAGCGTTGGTGAGTGAGTACCAAGAAACATGAGACTGACTGCCATCTCAGCCTCAAAGCAATGGCAGGGCACCAGTTCTACAGATGGGCAAAGCCTGAGCCCCCAAGACAGTACAAGGCTAAGCTGATTCAGGTCACGGAATTGGGGAGGTGTGGTGGAGGCATGTGAGAAAGGCATAGGTGTGGAATTCTGATGTATTAGGTGAACACCCTCCTCAAGGAAGACAAAGTCATGCTCAGCTGGAGCAAGGAACAGCTTCCTAAGACTTGTGTGCCCTCCAAGACCATCCACCCCCAAACCAAAGAATGTGCCTTGGTTTGAAAATGGCAAAGAGAAACAGGTGTTAGGTATATGATGACTGAGGGTCAAGAGTTGCCTCTTCCTGGTAGAAGTTAAGACCTCCACTGCAGTCACCAGAAAGTGGGGCTGGGGTGGGATCTGCTTCCCTCAGGGGATGTGCACCTGCGTTTGATTAACCCTGCCCAGCACCTCAGATATGACCCGTGGGCTCATAGCCACCTTCTCCACGGCTCGTTTCAGGCAGCACTCAGCTCACGATCCTCAGCTATGGAAGGGAGATTAGGATGGGAGCCACCATCCCCCACCTGGGGATACTGATGCTGGGTGTAATCATCGCTCCTCATGGACAGGAAGGAGAGCCAGGCCTCTTAGCCCCGCATAGCCTCCTGGCTTCCGTCTGGTGTCAGGTTGGCTGACTCTTCACTCTGAAGACCTCGGGAGCAAGCTGCTGAATAGGGGCGAAGCTGAACTGAGAATGCACAGCAAGTAGGGCGCGCGTCTGTATTTACGATGGTCACATTTGGTTCTACACATGGTTTTACAACACTCCTCTGGCAGATCAGGTGCGAGGTATGGAAAGTATCAGCAAGCCGCTGGGGCGGAGTGCCGGTGTGTGTGGGGGGGGGTGGTTCCTGACCCCAAGGTTCTGTGTGTCCCTGGGGGACGTGGACGCGCCCCTGCCTGGTGGCCTTCCTCCTGCGGGCCAGGCAGGGCTGCAGTACCCCGCACCAGAGCACGCTCGGTCCCGCGCCTGCCGCGTGGGCGCTAGGTTTCCTCTTTGTCTGGAGCACAGACTCGCGAGTGGGAAGGCGCGACTTCTGCAAGCACATCGGTCTTAAACCCAAGGTCCCAAACGTGTGCCGCCGAGCCGCTGCGCCGCAAGGCTTTGCCCGCGCGCCCGCACCACCTCGCGCGGCGAGGGAGGAGCCCCGCTGCGGACAGACGGCTGCTGGGGGCGCGGCGGGGCGCGGCGGCCTCCATTCATAAGCGCACACCTGCTCCCCGCCTCCCTGCAGGGCCCTGCGCTCGTGCCCGCGGGTCCAGAAGCGTGTCCACCCCACCCCCACCGGGCCCCCCCCGCCGTGTGCAGCCCCCGACCCCCCCTCACCCAGCCGAGCACCCCGGGTGGAAACGTGGGACAAAATGGCCTGCTGTTGATTCATAAATAAAATCTCGCCCTTTGGCTCCGGGCTGTCCGACATTTTGTGACTTGCGGGTTTTTTTTTTTTCTTTATCATACATTTAGGAGGCTACTGTTCGTGCTGCCCATCCATTTCTGAATACCTGGCCATTTAGGGCCGGGTTTCACCCTTTTATGAGGCGAGTGGGGAGGGCGGGAGCGGCCAGGGACGAGACGGGAGACTCGGGCGGGGCAGGGTCTCCTCCCCTCTCCATCCACACCGTGTGGTGCGCAGTTATTAACCGAGACCCTCCCCGCGAAATCCTCGGGATCGCCCTGGTCTCCGGCAGCAAGAGGCGAGCCCCTATTCGCTGAGCCGACGCCTCCCCGCCCCATTCCTCTCCGCGCTGGAAATTACAACTCCGGGCGCGCGGCAGGCAGGGAGGGGGTCCCCGAGCCGGCGGCTCCCGCCCCCCCCCCCCCCGCGCTCCCAGCTGCGGCGTCGCGCGGCCAAGGTCAGGGGCGCCGCAGGAGCAGTGCCGCGACCGGGACGAGGTCACTGCTGGGCGCACGGACCGGTCGCTAGCGGAGGGGCAGCGTGGGGCAAGTGGGGGCGCTGTCCGCCGCCTCGCGGTGCTGGGCCAGCAGCGGCCCGCGCTGGACAGGGTGGGGCGGAGACAGAAGCAGCAGCTGAGAGAACCCAGCCCCGGGCGCCGCGCGGGCCCCGCAAGCGCAGGAGGTGAGCACGCGCCCTTCGTCCGCCCCAGTAGTCCCGGGCGGAGGCCCCAGGACCCCGAGAGGAGGCTTGCAGCAGGCGCGCGGGGGATGCCCCGTGCCCCCCGCCCCGAGGCGCCGACCCCGCCGGGCCGCCCGCCTTTGGAGTCGTGTGCGCTGCCCCGCGGCCCCGGGCTGCTCGGGCCGCGGCGATGGAGGAGGAGCTGAAGTGCCCGGTGTGCGGCGCCCTGTTTCGCGAGCCGATCATCCTGCCCTGCTCGCACAATGTCTGCCTGCCGTGCGCGCGCACCATCGCGGTGCAGACCCCGGACAACGAGCAGCACCTGCCCCCGCCGCTCCTGCTGCCCCGGGGTCCAGACCCGGACCCTGCGGCCACGGGGGGTGCGGGAGCCTCCGGGGGCGCGGTGGGGGGCGCGGCTGCAGGCGGCGGGGACCACGCGGACAAGCTGAGCCTGCACAGCGAGACTGACAGCGGCTACGGCTCCTACACGCCAAGCCTCAAGTCCCCCAATGGGGTCCGCGTGCTGCCCACGGTGCCCGCGCCCCCAGGCTCTTCTGCTGCCGCGGCCCGGGGCGCCACCTGCTCGACTCTAGCCGCGTGTTCCTCCAGCTCCATCACCTGCCCGCAGTGCCATCGCAGCGCCTCCCTGGACCACCGTGGCCTGCGCGGCTTCCAGCGCAACCGGCTGCTGGAGGCCATCGTGCAGCGCTTCCAGCAGGGCCGCGGGCCGGCGCCGGGGGCGTCTGCGGCCCCCGCGGTGGCCGTCTGCCAGCTGTGCGACCGCACCCCGCCAGAGCCCGCGGCAGCGCTCTGCGAGCAGTGCGACGTGCTCTACTGCGCCGCCTGCCAGCTCAAGTGCCACCCGTCCCGGGGCCCCTTTGCCAAGCACCACCTGGTGCAGCCTCCGCCGCCGCCTGCGCCCCCCGAGCCGGCCCCTGTCGCCCCTGGCGCGAGCGGCGGCTGCAAGAGCCCCGGGGCCGCAGGCAGTGGCGCGGCGCGTAAGTTCCCCACGTGCCCGGAGCACGACCTGGAGAACTATAGCATGTACTGTGCCAGCTGCCGGAGCCCGGTGTGCTACGTGTGCCTGGAGGACGGCCGGCACGCCCAGCACGAGGTGAAGCCGCTGGGCGCAGCCTGGAAGCAGCACAAGGTGAGCGCTGGCGCGAGCACGGGAAGCCTCAGTTCTGCAAGGGCTGAGCGGGAACCACTCATCGTTCCTTCGTTCATTCATTCATCCTGGCATCAGTAATTTGACCAACACTCAATGAGTCGAGGCCCCTGAGACGGGTACTGCGTGTGGACAGGATAGGTGTGGAGTAAGTGGCTTACCGAGTCTCTTCCCACATGAGACTTTGTGACTCTACACAAAGTGGCCTCAATCCCAGTCTGACTAAGTCACCCTGATGGCCCTTCTTGATTAAGGCAGGCAGGACCTCCTTCCTCCTTGTGGGGGAAATATTTTTTTAAAACTTATTTTTTTAAGGTGCAAGTGTTACCATCTGGTTGCATCTGACTGGTGCCTTTCCAACCAGGTAAATCTCCTGAGATGGGAGGCTGGTCTCCAGTCCTCAAGAAGGGCTGCACTATTTTCTGTTCAGCCAGACCTCTCCCTTCCAGAGCAGAAATCCTCAACTCCTCTCCAAATGCATTCTATCCCCAGAATGCCCTGCAGCCTAGAGGGGAGATACACTTCTTCCTGAGCCCTGTTGTAGCACTAGGACAAGTGCCCCTTAGAAGGAAGCATCCTTTTTCCTAGAGACCTCTCTTGGCTGGAGCTGGGGTGGGGGAAGCTCACAGTTACAGAACCAGGTGCTTAGGGAGTGTAACCCTCAGCAGATTATGGCCGACAATGTGAACTCCTATCTGACACTGGGAAAAAGAGGATAAGCCATCAGTATTTGATCAGGCCATCATCAGGCCCTGAGACAAGGCTGGCCTCTTCTAGCTAAGATTCACCTAATTTCTGAGACAAATCGGTTAGCTGGACACCTGCACTCATCCCTGTGGAGGAAGTTAGAGTCCCTTGGTAAGGACCCTAATGCATCTTCATCCCAGAGGGCTATCATTCAATGCATTCTTTCCAGTAAACTCTAGCAGGGAAGAGGCAGAGGTCTCCAGAGGGCCCAACAGTAAATAGTGTGTGCACTTGGGTGGACAAGGGGAGCCACAGGAAAACGGAGCCATTTGCCAAGGCAACTTTGTCATCCAATTGCAAACAGGCAGAGGGCAGCACAGAAGAGACTAACTGCTCCTCGGTAGATGTCTTGTTCCTGTATATATAAAATATATAGTTATGGTGTATAGATTCATCTATTATAATGAGCATGTGTTGTTACTGTAACTTTTCCAATAAAATTAGGTGAGGGGGAGCTCAAGAACTTGGGAGGCTGAGGCAGGAGGGTATCTGTGAGTTTGAGGCCAGTCTGGGCTACATATTACGTTCAAGGCCCACCTGGACTGCACAGTGAGACCCTGTCTTCACACACACACACACACACACACACACACGCACACACATACACTCGCACGCGTGCACTTTAGAAATCCACCAAGGAGAGGGAAGTTTATTTAACAGATCTTAAAAAGGGAAATGTGGAGTCGAATCCCTGGTTCTAGAGCAGTGGTTCTCAATGGGGGCCAATTGGGTTGTCACGCCTCAGGGATGCTGTTAGCATCTAGTGAGCAGAGGCATGAGGTCTACTAAACATCCTACAGTATAAAGGAAAACTCTGGCAATTATCTGAAGGTCAACAGCACCTCTGATAAGAAACCCTGCTCTTCTGGGCATGGTGGTGCACACCTGTAATCCCAGCACTAGGGAGGCTGAGGCAAGATCACTGTGAGTTGTACACCAGCCTAGGCTACATGGTGAGTTCAAGGCCAGCCTGAACTGCACAGTGAGACCCTGTTTCAAAAAAACAAAGACAAAAAACCCTACCGTGCAGTTGCAACAGTCCTAGTCTAAATCTCAAGGATTGCAGTTTACTAGCTGTGTGAGTTGAGGCAATTTTAACTTTAAACTCATTGAAGTAACATCTAACTCAGATCCTCATGGAAAGCAGTAAGTATAATTCTCTATGTTTAGCCTCTAGCTCAGTACGTATTATTTTTATGGTCTTAATACTTAAAAACAGTGAGCTTGCAGAAAGCTACAGGGCAGTAGCCTGAGTGCTCTTTTGGGCTCATTGACTTGGTTACCTGGAGAAAACACCTGATTGTGACTTTTGGTATTGCTTGTGCTGAGCCCTTAAATAGCTTTGAGCTGAATGAGGATGCTTGCCTTGAATTCATTGCCATTCACTAGACATTTTGCTTTGCAGAAATTATAGCTCCTCACTTGTTTCATTGTTTAAGGGACTAGATGTCATTTTATAAATAAGGAAATCATTTGAAAAAAGACTGATTAATTAACAAGACAAGAAGTGTGGGTTCTAAACATCACACTCAGATTTCACAAGCTGTTAAAAGTTTACAGCCTAGAGGGCCAAAGCTAATTTTAGATATTGCCACTTGAACATTCAGAATAGTGAAGAGTGGAAAGCAAAGAAGGCTCAGTTGAGATTTTTGCAATTGTAAGAGTTTAAGTGTCTCGCTTGGAAAAGTGAGTTGGATAATGAGGTATGGTTTCAAGGACCAAGGTTGAGCAGGGAAAAATCAGTGGTCATCCCCAGTTTGGTATCAAAAGCAGTCTTCTATAATCACTACTCACCAAACAGCATACAGTTATGAGGAGACGTGAGAAGCACATGGATAGCTACTTAACAGTGTGGGTGGTAGCACCTGTGGGCAGTGGCACCTGGGGGAACATGACTGTGGGATTTCTTGTCTGGTGGTGCTGCTTCAGGAACTATGATGTCCTGCATCCAGTGGGAATGTGGAGATAGTTCCGAGAGACTCAGCCTCAAGGATGGATACATACTCTGCTGTTCTTTAGCAGCTGCTGCTGCTTTTCTACAAAAAGGGAACTTAGTGCTTGTTGCAAGCATCTCACTAGGTGCCGGTGATGGGAAGGGAAGTTGGAAGGGGGGGTACACAGCTTAGCTTTGGTTGGGGAGGTTGGGAGCGGGTCTGAGACCACCACGTGAGTTGCAAGAGTGGTTATTACAGGGAGATAAATGAGAACACTCCATTTCAGACTCCTACTGTGGCAGCAAGCTCTTCAGTAAACATTACAGTCTTTGGATTTTTGTCCTGGTGGTTAAAACCCTCAGAATTGGGCCAGGGATTTACCTCAGTGGCACCATGCCTGCCTCAAAAATGCAAGGTCCTGAGTTTGATCCCTGTTACCAAAAAAAAAAACAACCCTCAGAATCCATAACAAAGCCCCACTGATACCAGCAGCCCTTCCCTGAGGTTCCTAAGTTCCAAGGGGCCTTCAGCACAGCTGGCTCTGATTCCTCTCTGGAGGAGTGGAGCTTGCCATTTGATCAGTGATTCTTAAGGGAGGAGGCCTGTACTGTATGTAATACTAAAGCCTGTTGATTATCACCTTTTAAAGCAGAGTAGAAACCTTTTGGTCTTGATTAAACACATTTTCATATGGCTCTCTTGGAAGACAATTAACTTTAACTTCTGACAGGAAGAAGTTCTGCGTGTTTTGAAAGACAGGCAAGAAGGGCAGCTTTTGCCTTTTTCTCTATTGATTATCCCAAGGCAGGGAGGCGGGGGGGTGGGGAGGTGGAGGTCACTGTGAGCTGTGACACTTCCTAGCATATCACAGAATGTCATCTGAAATTCTTGCTTCAGGGAGAACCTGAGATGCTGGGTGCAGATGGTCAGCCCTGAATTAAATGTGGATGTTGATTCCCCGCCTGAGGCTGTGGAGTGCTGGCCAGGCCTCTGGGGAGCAGAAGAGCATGCAAGAACACCTCAAAGTGCCCAGGGTGACCTAACCGGGGAGCCCCCTCCCACCTTGCAAAAGAGTGAGGGAGAGTGTGGAATGGGGAAGATGGGAACATCTGCTCTCTCTAGGCCTCCAGGCTCTGCCAAGGGCATGTGGCTTCTCTGCGCCTGGTCTGGCCTATTTTGTAAAGGAGGCATTTTAGGCTTTCGAGCCTCAGGGGAAAGTCCTTGCGATTTACAGGACATCACACGAGTGACAAAGCCAGAACATGGAGTCATAACTGTGATCATAGGGGAACTTATTTTAACATTTGGAGTTCTTATTACCCAAGTAGTAAGTACTCATTGTTAAAAATTAGAACTGCAGACATAGAAATGCAGGCTTAACTGTCATCCCTAAACTCTACAGGGAAAAAAAATTTCTAACACTTGAGAGTTTTTCCTCCTCTAATTCTACTATACTTTTATTTGACACTGCCTTTTTCTTTACAAATACAATCTAAATGTCTTTATTGATAATGAATATGTATTATTTTTGAGGGCTATATGCCATTACTTCATAAGAATTCATTTTACACCCTGATTCTACACTTTAGGCTGTTTTCACCTTTTGCTGCTATAGACATTTTTCCATTTAAATCTTTGCTTTACACTCTTAATTATTTCCTTAGGTTACATTTCTGATGTGGAATTATAATACCAAAGGTTGTGCTCACTTCAGCAGCACATATATGAAAAAAAAGGAATATCAAAGGTTACTTGACTTTAAAGCAACTAATTAATGTTTCCAAATTACCTTCCATTGAGATACCTATTTTTCTCCCAACAGGAAATTATGTCAATAATAAAAAATTCGCGTGGTTAGGAACCAAAGAGGAAACAAAAAGTAGATTGTCTTGCTTGTAGTAATTATTATTTGCTATTTTCATTACATCATTATTAGAGCTTTTTAAAAAGAGGATCACAAGTATCTAGACTTTCGTATTCTTAACTACCAGTGAACCTGCCTTCCCTGGAGAAATGATTTAACTTGTAGAGCTCTGTTGCCCCATTTCCCCTTCTGGTTTCTGAGGCACTTTGGGATGGGGTTGGGTGACCATAAAAAGCTGAAGAGAGGGAAGAACTTGGCAGTGTCTTCCAAGAGGTCTGGCCTCTCATCCTCACTGCCCTGTGCTAGATTCTGACCCCAGGCAGAGTGCTGAGAGCCACAGCAGTGGACAACCTGCTCCTCCTTACACTCCCTGGAAATCTGTTCATTCCAAGAGAGAGCCCAGATTTTCAAGAAGCTAAACCTTTAGGGCCGGGGAT